TGATTAGTGCAGATTTCTTTTTTCCATTATCCATCAGACATTTTCAATATAGCTTGCTTCTCCTATCATCAGAATGTTGCAGGTTATCCACCAAATAAAGCTTGCCCCTATTTTTTAGATTTTTCGTCGTAAGTGTTCAGCATAGCAGCTTCCCTCCAATCATCAGAATGGTGCAAATTTTACACCAGAAATTATTATTAAAGTTCGTTTCTCTATTCAGCAGAAGGATGCAAATTTAAGACCCAAAATTTTCCGAAAAGCTTGCTCATCCGTTCACCAGAACGGTGCAGATTTTCCACCAGACATTTTCAATATAGCTTAGTTTTAAAAAGTAGAAGGGTCTGTGGCTAGGGGCACGAACGGAAGCTTGACGTAGGACCGCTAGTGGACGGAACAAATGTGAACATTTAGTTCTTTTAATTGATCAATCATCAATTATCTTAACTCTTTCCGTTTTTGATTTGTAAGCGTATCATATTTATAGTATTTATTTCAAAGAGAAAGTTGATGAAGAGAATCCAAGGGACTGTCAACTTGAGTATTTTCGATTCATCTACCCGACTTTAAAAGGTGTATTTTGATTTTTTTGTTATTTATGAATTTTTAAGTTTTGTGCATTTTGGTATTAAAGTGTATTCAATTCACCCCTCACAGGATTTCATTCCGAATTATATGAATGGGGCGGGGCGGAAATTATCGTTTGTGCAGAATATGTAAAAAAGGGAGACTTCGAGAGATTGAACTCGTGAGAGCTAATTTTCTCACAAATTTGATTTTATTGGCTTTCTGGGGACTGAATATACACCCAAAGCGAATGATTTCCACTTCTCTCAAATGCTATTTGGATTTTTAACACTTCCTACCAGCGTGTTCTGGAAAATGGTCGGACGATGATTAATCTCACCAATACATTCGGGCCTACAATTCCACACCTTAATTAGAGACCAGGTTGAGCCTTGATAGCTAGCTGCTTGCGGGAATGGATGACCTTGACAAATGTCCAAATAATACTTTTAACAAATTTATGGTGGTCCTGAAAAGGATTATTTTGTAGTGATGGTTGAGTAATGCTAAACTGAGCACGACGAGCTGATTCCGGTCCTAGCCTAGTGGTGGGACTTCTTCCTCCTTCACTATGGTTGCTCATATGAGCTCTGCAGCTCGCTGATTGCAGGCAGCCTTTCTTTGTTGTTGTTGTTATTAAAAGCACTCCTGCTGCTGCTACTACTGCTGCTGGTGGACTGTACACCACCACTTACGGTGATTGAATGAGCACCGTTCAGTGGGACCGCATCGAATTCGATTTTTAAGTCTGTGTTAGGGAATGCGCTGTTTTCAGACATTCGGTGATAATTTTTTATCACCGTTGCAACAGTTGGCCATTTGGTATTTTGTAATAGTGACCTATTGAAAATTAACTAAGTGTTCATTTTAGCAGATTGGTTGATAAATTCCCAATCGTTTGGCTTGTTTAGAATTAAAATCTATCTGCTATTGGTCGAAACCTGACCTCTTTTCATAATGCTGTGCATTTTGATTTTTTGAAATTGCGTGGATTCTATAGATCCTGTGGAGATTTATCTAGCCCTGATGTATGTGTTGGTAGAGGGAAAAATGTAAACTTTGCGGGAGACGATGTCTTAACACTCGAAAGCAATTTTGTGAAATATGAAGTAAAACAAATCCTAGCTAGTTCTGCATGATGATTTAGTTTGATTTTATTTATTTGTAAAGTTGCCGGGAAATACCAGCTGGCGATTTGTTTTTTTATGATAACTCCTTACTTGAAAACAGGCAAAAACTCACAAACAGGCTGTTTTTTCATGGTATACAGTGTGATAATTCAATAATCAATAAATTATCTCAACATTTAGTGGCAAACCATTCATAAATTTTGGTAACATACAAAAAATTCTATAATCCACATTAAATTTCATATGTAAGCGCCGATTGAAACAATCTTTTCGACGTCACTACAAGGGTGATTGATTAAACGAAAGAAACGAATCGTGCGGAGTGAAAGCCGAGGAAAAACTAATTGCACCAATATATTCAGGCCTACAATTCTACACCTTCTATAGACAGGTTAAGCCTTGATAGCTAGCTGCTTGCGGGACCAATGTCCAAATAATACTCTTTAACAAATTTTGGGTGGCCCTGAAAAGGACCGTTTTGTAGTGATGGTTGAGTAATTCTGAGCTTGGTGTTCAACACGGATGAGGCTGTCGAGCTGTATGTCGTTTGGAGCGAGGGTGACACGCTTGGCATAGATGACCGACCCGCAGCGACTCACGAAGAGCTACTGATTCCGATCCATAGCATAGCGGTGCAGCTTCTTCCTCCTTTGATGTTTGCTTATGTGGGCTCTGCAGCTCGCTGCTTGCAGGCAGCCTTTCGTTGTTACTGGAGAAAAATTTTCAACGCCACACGCCGAAAGCACTGCTACTGCTGCTACTAATTTCGACGACCGAACACCACCACACAGTGGCGTGTTCGTTGGGAGTGTGTGGTTCTGAGTATGGCGATGAGTGTGCAAAATATTACGCAATTCCATCCTCCCTATTTGCACGCGCCCGAGGATCGGATGCGAATGCCACTTCGACTTGTTTCGTCTACTTACTACTCTCTGACGACTGTGCTGGGGAAGCAGCATATGCATGTAGGTAATTGGTGGATTTGTTAGTTAATTCGACGCTTTTGGACAATGCTGGACATTTACCAGTTTTTCAATAGTTTCTTGTTGAAAATCAACATTCAAAAGCATTTTTATCGATGCGTAGCCATATTTCTGATCGATTGGTGATAAAGTTATTGAAATTGGACCAGGGGCAGCTGAGTTATTAACGTTCAAAATCTTTCTTAATTTGTTACATGTTCCATTTTCGGTTTTCACAAAGTGTACCCCCATATAGAAATCAAAGACGTAGTCCTACGTCAAAAAGCTTGTGCCTTCATATACCAATGCAAGGTTTCCACCAGAAATCTTCTGTTCATTTCATTTATCAGAGCGATGCCAATTTTGCACCAGAAATTTTCAATAAATCATGCTCCTCCATTCACCAGAACGGTGCACCAAAAATTGTCAGTGAAGTTTGTTTCACCATGCACCTTTGTGGTGCAATTTTTAGGCTTTGTCTCTTCATGCACCAGAATGGTGCAAATTTACCACCATAAATTTTGAAAAATGAATAAACCTTGCTTCTACATTCACCGCAGTGGTGCAAACTTTCCACCAGAAATTTTCAGTTAAATATTTACCTCCAAATGTTTAGCTTGATTCAATTTTTCCACCAGAGTTATTCATTTTGATAAGTCCCTCCATGCACCACCTTGATGATATTTTTACACCAGAAATAATCAATAAAAAGCTTTTTATTCGATTTACCACCACGAAATTGAATTTTTTCAATCTTGAATTTACCCTCTTCTTTTAACCCTCCATGCACCACCTAGAAAAAAAATTACACCAGAAATGTTGTGTATGCACCACTGTGGTGCAATTTTTTGATTAAAAAATTTCATTGACATACCTTTGTGGTGCAATTTTCAGGCACCATCTCAAAGCAATTGACGCAATAAAAGGTTTTCAGTGCCCTTATATTTTAAAATGAAGTTATTTTACCTTCAAATCAAGTTATCAAATAAAACAAGCTATTTTATGTCATAATTTTGTCAGTGTGGAAATAAAAATCTTATTTATAAAAGGAGGGGCAATTGCCCCACCTTGCCCCACCCTGTGCACGCCAGTGTCATGCACCCTCCATTGTGTTGCTAGATCCGAGATATCTGCATCCCTCAGGGCCCGAGGAAAACAACCCGCGATACCCGTTAGAGATGTCTTGGCGAGCCAAGATCTCGACTATTGGAATTTAATGTATGTGTTTTTAAAACGGATAGATCTGAGGATTTAGTAGTTAGTGTCATTTTGTGTTGTTGGCTACCCATCGGTGAACCCTCATGCCTGTCTTTTTCATTAGAATGTCGCTTAGTTCGAGAGCCCTACCCTGCTATCCATTTATTACCATCTGTTACGCCTAATCTCGACATAGCTGCGAGTAATCGGCCCCTGCTTTACTAACGTTAGTTTTAAGTAATTTTGTGATCCAAACAATTAATATCGGCTCCGCAAAGCTACAACAAATGAGCCTGGAAAAATAAACGCATTATTAAAAAAAAATGAACACGCCCTTATGCATGCTCACTGTTGAGTTCACTATAAAGCTGAGAAAATCGACGAAGAGAATCTGTCAATGTCACTACGGACCTAATCGATTGTTTCGCTTGAAATATAAACCCATATCCTCGTTTTCGTTCAAACCGTTTTGCCATATGGGGTTGCGGTGCGGCTTCTTCCTCCTTCTATGGATGCTCATGTGGGCTGCAGCTCGCTGCTTGCAGGCAGCCTTTCGTTGTGTACTGGAGAACAATGTTCAACGCCACGTGCCGAAATCACTGCTCCTGCTGCCAACGACCGGACACCACCACACACGGTGATTGGAACTGAATCCGATCAGAATGCGTAGAAATATTTCTGATCGATTGGTGATAAAATTATTGAAATTTGTCCAGGGGCAGCTGAGTTATTACCGTTCATAATCTTTCATAATTTTGTTACATGTTCCATTATTTCAGATTTCACCCCATATAGAAACCACAGACGTCAAAAACAACAAAAAAAAGTAAAAACACCTGTACATTTTCTAAAGGCTTATTTCGAAGACATCGAACTGAAAAAATGATCCCCCTTATTCTGCGAGTCGTGTGACTCTCTGTCACTAGTCACGTCGTGTGCGGTGACTCTCCGTGTAAATCAAATGGAGGCACCTCCCACGACGTGACTTTTGTTACCTTACTAGATTATCTTTATTAAAGATACTTTCAGCCATATGGCATATGCCATATGCCAGAGAGTCACACAACTTGCCGAATAGGGGATATTGACAAACCAAGTCGCATATTTACCTATAATCCAAAATCCGTTTCCATTGTACGTTTTATTAACTTCAATTTCGCCCGATAACAATCTTCCTCTCTAATTGCACATTTCGCCGAACCACTGCTTACTGGACAAACACTTGGCGTTCACACAAGCCGGGCACCGGAGCAAAAATTTCGGATTCACACGGTTTCCATCCTTCAAGTGATTCTGCACCACATCGGTCATGGCATCGATGAACAGCGGATGATCGTTGGGTGCCGCCGCACGGCCAATCTTCTCCGCACCTACTTCGTGAGCCAACTCTTGGCAATATTCAATGTCCAACTCGTGCAGCGTTTCGATATGCTCGTTGACAAAGGCGATTGGTACGAGGATGAAATTCTTCTTACCTTGTTTGACGTAACCCTTGATGGCATCGTCGGTGAACGGTTCCAACCAGGGTAGGGGACCAACCTTCGATTGCCATACCAAACAGTACGGGTTGCAGTATTTCAGTTCTCCCATCACGTTTTGAACGGTAGCCCCAACCTCGGAAGGGTACGCATCGCCACGATTAACCGCCTTCAGTGGCAGAGAATGTGCCGAAAAGAGCAAGATGACATCTTTCCGCTTATCCTCAGAGAATTTTGCCAGCTCCTTCCGAATGTTATCGGCAAACGTCTTGGCCAGCAAGGGATGCGTTGCCCAGCGATCGATGATGCTCCACTTGGCGTTGGCTAGCCCATTCTTGTTGGATTTGTAGTGGGAGAAAATGGCATTGAAGCTGGAACCGGACGTGGCACAGCTGTATTGGGGATACTGCGAGAACAGGACAACTCGCTCGGGTTGATCCTGTTCCACTTGCTTCAGGGTATCTTCTGTCAGTGGAGTCACATAGCGAAATGCAACGTAGTGTTTGTGTGGTGCTGTTTCAGGGGACACCTTATCGAGTTGTTTGCATAGCAGTTCACCCTGAATGTTAGTCCATTTGAAAATCGGCGAACCCCCACCGATCTCGGCGTACTTTTTCTGTACTTCAGGAGTACGTCGCTTTGCAATCCAAGGACCTAGTTTACTGGAATTTTTACAACGCTGTTAGTTACTATGCAAGAAACAAGAAACTGAGATTATACCTTTGAACCGGCAACTGAATCATGTCCCGATCGGTCATGATCCGGTGCAAATAATCGTGCACTTGATCGGTATTCTGTGGTCCACCCATATTGAGCATAATGATCGCCGTACGGGGTTTGGAGTACTTGACAGACTGCATGCTGATGTGTCGTAATTGTGCCAAAGTACCTTCAGCCAAGAAGACGGGTTATTAAGATAAGTGGGAATTCAGTTTAACAACTCAGACACTTATGTTACTTTCACAAGTTCGGCATACTCACCTATTCCCAATGAGGTAGACTTGGAAACAAACATGTTCTTCAACATTTTGAGACTTGCTGTTGGATTATGGAACGATTTAAATTAAATGCAGTAGTAATATCAACTGATCCTGATAATTTAATGCACTCGCGAAATAGTGTATTGTGCAATAGTTGGCAGTTTTTTTTTTTGATAATTAAAAACAAAAAAAATCACGAGTCACGAACAAAAGCAGTCTACCGGAGGACTGCTGGCAATGATTTGACACTGTAGTAACCTGTGAGTGACAGGAAAAAAAAACAGAGAATCGGAATGAAACTTCGACAGTGAGCATTCATAAGGGCCTATACGCGATGATCGATTCTCTTCATCGCTTTTCTCTTTGCATTGCTACAGCTAAGCGAAACAATTTTCTTGAATTTGTTCAATGCAGAGTAGTAACAGATTGTATTGGCTATCAAAAGCAACAGCAAACGCACCGAGAAACGTTAAATCTAGCGAGTTATTAACAAAAGAGAAAATCGACGAAGAGAATCGATCATCGCGTATAGGCCCTTATGCATGCTCACTGTCGACTTTCTCTTCTAATTGGCGATGACGGCGACTCTGTAGCTGTTTACTCCTGTGGTAAAATCCATAAGCAAACATCAGACTGTGCGTGAGACTCTGTTCTACTCTTTCACTGCACCGAACAATTCCATAAGAAACTGTCAATATTTGATACAAGAGACGACTTCTCGACGGTGCCGTGAACGCCTGTGAGATTGAAATTTGAGTGACTTGAAAGCACTCAGCATTTGAAAGAGTAAGGTAGAAAATGAGTGGTAGCTAAGACAAGACAAGACATCAGGCTCCTTTTTACTCTTCATTGCAGGTTTTTTATTCACGGAAATGAAAAACTACCCAAAATTTAGTACTTTCCCTCAATTCCCGGGTTCTGCCCAATAACCCAAATTTGAGTAAATTGCATATAGACCTTTTTGACGTTTAATCGTCTTTCTCTATCCAGCACACAGGGATGAATGGATGGTTTGTTTTCCCACTAATCTGTTTCTCTCTTGCTCACACTCCTTCACGGATACAAATTTTGTTCATTTAAAACAAAAATGTAAATGTTTATACTCTAAACATATGAACCTGCATATGAATTATTCAAAGTAAATTGAAAGCATGTTTAAAACTAAAATATTTATGTTTGAATTAAATTCAAAAGCATGTTTATTTCAGCAATATAATATTTGGGTAAACGGTTTTTAGCGTGTCATGCCTTTTTATTTCCTTCTTGTTACATTCGGAAAAAAGTTGCCCACTTTTGCTGAACTCAACAAAAAACGGCTTGAAAGATGGATCCGGAGACCAGCTCGACAAAACCGGCGGTACTCCACGGTATCAACTTTAGTTTCTGATGCCGATCCCTATATCATCCTCCTCCACACGTGACTTCGAAAGCTCGTTCGAAAACACAAAGAAAATTCGAAATGGATTTTGAATCCATTCCGGATCCTCCTCCGACACCGAAAGTATAAAGAAACCGATATGAGGACTAGTGGCAGAACAAAAAAAAATAAAAACGACGCTAATATAACAAATTTTCACCGGTTCCACTGAACTGGAACCCCCGGACACCCACTCCAACGGATCCCCGCATCCCGTTTCAGGACCCCAATACCCACAGGTCACCCTTAATCACAGGGTGAAATAGCAGGAATGTAGATGCCACAGACAAACAGACATAACACATTGAATATTTCTCATTGTAAAACATCGTCGCTAAAACATTACCGCCACCTGTTGAGTACACTGTGGTGGGTAGTACGCTGCACAGATGGCGGTAGTGTGTAAACGTCAAACGCAAGGGAATTTTCTATGCGCGCCACAGGTGGCAGTACTACCAACTGAGATACTTTCAAATTGACCGTTAAATGCTTGTTCGATGAACAACTTATGAGTGTTATGTCTGTTTGTCTGTGTAGATGCCCTGCGTGAAGATTTTTTTACTCTTCATTTCTTTGCAATGCGTTTTATCTTGCTTTACCCTGCACTCAACTATTAAAATTATTTGAAAATATGTATGTGTTTGGCCAGGATACGACTAGGCCCTACGTTGTGGTTTTACAGTGTGATGGAAATCGGCAAGGTGAAGACTTTTCCAGAGTATAATTAAAACACTGCAATTATTAACCACTTGGTTCACTGTTTTATTGCCTCCAAAAGGCATCCTGCCTGCTCGGAGGAGGAACGAATAACTTAAACTATTTACAACAAATGAGTCCTTAAATATTATTCCCGAACAATAAAACTCACTCACAATAATTATTTACAACTAAAAACAACCATACAAAAGGTAAACAATAACAAATGCATACAAAACACTATGATACAAACAATGTGGATCGCATCGCTACCATCATGGCGGGGGGGCTTTTACTGGTAACGCTTTATATATTCAAATGCGGTAGAGCCCGGCACCGATGGTGCGATCCAACAGTATGTTTATTTTAAACATGTGAAGCATGTTTTAAATTAAAATATTTATTTTTGTTCCCATAGCTGTCAAACCAACCGGTGAACACTCGTGTTTATTCCAGTTACCGTGGGGACGTAATTTGTGATGAGCTCCGGTCCCTTTCAAATTGTATCATTATTTATGTACGGTCCATATAGTTGAAATGACGTTTCACATTCATCTAGTGATGGCCGATTTTCATTCGAATTATCGATTAGTCAATTAACGAACCTGAAACTAAAATATTTGCAATCGGTTATATCAACAATCAATACGAAACTAACGATTTTAAATTGGCTCACCACTTTAGTAGCCTATTGGTCCCAAGCAAACGATTAACGTACCCTATTCTAGTTGAAATTCTATTACTACACTATGTTTGTTTTGATTCGCTATGAAAGTTTGACAGATAACATCAGGGGTGTGTGGATTCATGCAGAACATGCAGGGGTGAGTGAAATAGCTTGGGACTGCTTGGGACCGTTGTTCTGGTACTGAGTGAGCCAAAAATAATAATGATTTTCTTCGGGGAGATGCCAGATCTACGGAAATCTCCGTAGATCTACGGATATTACAAATTTTTACGGAAATACGGATCCGTAGGCAAAATCTACGGAATTCGGTATAGTTTCTACGGATTTTTTCTTCAGTGTACAATCTAGAGTATAATCTGATTCTGAAGGGAAAGTAGCATAAAGTATAATACACTCCTGCAACTTGTTTTCTTGCTCACTTATCCGCTTTTTGATAGAATTGGCGTTGACGACGACTCTGTAGCTCTTCCCTCCTATGAAATATCCCGCAAGCAAACGTCAGACTGTGCGTGGAACATGGCAGCCTTCGTACTACACGGAAACGAATTTTGTTCATTTATATCAAAAATATAAATGTTTATAATCTAAACATATTAATTATTCAAAGTAAATTGAAAACATGTTTAAAACGAAAATATTTATGTTTGAATTAAATTCAAAGGCATGTTTATTTCAACAATATCAAAATCCATTGTATTTGACAGCTTTTGTCACCATGTCTGTGTTTGACTGACAATGATCGGTTTCTGTACGTGACGAATAAGAATGGAATCATTCTCCAGTGGGACCTGGCCAAGCGGAAATGGTTGGAGACAATAAAGGCGCAGAAGATGGTAGTTATTTCACTAGGAATTTCGCACGATCTGAAGTTTTTGGTAGTGACCGGATTAGATCAAGAGCTGGACGAAGCGACAATGGAACTGGTGATACTCTGATTGGAAGAATTCCTATCAATTATATTCCTGTACGAAAGATAGGACTGGCTCCTGGATGAGATGTTCTACGTGGGGACATTATACAGTCATCAAACGCCGGGTACCAGCATTGATGCCATGTCTCGAAAACGCTGCATTGTGGAAGAATCGCATTTGGTTTACAACTGTCTTCCCAGCTTGAGTGTGTCAGGTTGATCGGAAACGAACGTTTTATTTTATCGCGCATTGATGATTTATAATAATAAATAAATATGTATTTTTTCTGAACATTAAATACGTTTAAGTTAAACTCTAAAATCATGTTTCAAATAAAAATATTTATTTTTGTTTACAAAGCTGTCAAATCAAACAAAAATATTCACGTTTATTTTCAACTCGAATATTTTTAAAATAAACGTATAATGATTTTTATTTTAAACATTGATATCACATGACTTTAAACATAACGTACGTTTGAATCAACCTATTTTATTTTTGTGGCCAGAACAAACTGAGTTTACGTTTATTTTTACCTCAAATATTTTTATTACGATGATACTTTTTTCTGCGTGATCGAAGGACACAATGGCAATGACTTAACAGATCATATCCAGGAATTAACTGCACTACAAAGAGCAATTCTGGTCAATGATGATCCAGCAACGTGCTGTGTGTACTTCAACAAACTGGTTGACACGTTTGAATTTCAGCACCGTGGAAGTCGTCACGCTCACATCTTGCTATGGCTGAACAAGGATCTTCAGGAAGCAAAACTAAAGGTGCAACAGTGTCATAGTATTCATGCCTGTACTAAATACCATCGGTGCTTTTGAGGGCCACCAAGATTTTCCAAAAGAGTTAAATTTCTGAACATGTCCCAACTAAAATTCATATCAAAAGCTTCTTTTCAGGGCAATCATAGTCATACTAAAGAGTATAAACAGAGAGAATCAGGCTCAAATTCCTATTCCTACACAAAAGACAAGTCCTGCTGCAGTTAACAAGTAACATTTATTATATGAAATCACGCAGTACGACGTCACCATTGCGGGGTTCTTTTATCGATTTATCATTTAACGTAAAGTATCACCTTAGAACTAAAAAAAATATCACCTACGACTAAAAAAAAATCCGTAGAAATCCGTAGATTTGAACAAGTCTACGGAATTGCATAGAAAAAAATCTGGCATCTTTGGGACCCAGTGGTCTTAGAGTTACCTCTATGCTAGCACTGCGGCAGCAGCAACCCGAAAGAATATTTCCCCGATCGGAAACGCACATTTTCTGCGGTCACACTTGGCACCAGCTGCTTCCCGTGGCTTTCGGCAGTAATTTTGCACCACTTTGCGACAGTTTTTCACTAATTTTCACCAATTTTTCGATCACTGGGAGCCACCAAAAACTGCGAATGTTGCCCCTTTGCCTAGCCCTTTGCTCAGTGCGCGTTCATCCAGCTGCGAATATAAAATGGCGAAGCCAAAACGCAATGGGAAACTGGAACAATATGAAAATGAATCGCATGACAGTTGTTGTATGATTTTCGTCATGGGGCTAACTTGGATGATTTTACTTCATTTCTGTTCTTGAATTCATTTTTTGTTAATACCTTTCAAAATTTGAACGGTACTTCATTAAGTGGTTGATGTTATTTTCTTTTATGATACGTATGATGAATCTTCCCATTTAATGTCAATTATCAGTCAATCGGGTATCTCATATTATTTTCGATGTTAAAGAAATCGGATAACTCTGAATGATTAATCATGCGATGACGACATGGTAAATTCGCTCAGTGTATGTGTTTTTTACTGAAAGTGACTAGAATTCAACTCAATTTTAAGTTGATCTGGCTGAACGTGTGTCAAATTTGCTCAATTTTTTAGTGTGCTTTAACAGTCGACATAAAGCCATTAAAATTTTAATATTATAGTCGACTTTGCCAACCGCGGTTCTTCGGTGATTAGTTTTTTTGTTTGTAATCGAGTTTGTAATAAAAGCAGTTTATTCTTAACTTTATATCCCTAAATTTGTGTTGGGTACATTTCTTCCCTTAAAAATGGAGCCGATAGTTACTGGTTCGTTTATCGATGCTTCGAAGGACTATATATACACGGGATCAGATGGAAAGTGTTTTCCTGTATGTTGCACCTGCGGGGAATATTCACCGTTTATGATTTACCTTGGAAGCAATGAGAAGTCCATCATGTTCCAGCCGCATGCAGGGGTAAGTGTTTATTCGAATCATGATTCATGCCCTTCACTAACGATATGAACGTGTTTTGCAGCGTACTCAACTGTTTTGTCCTGTCTGCGCGCCGGATTCTGATCACTTCAGAAAACACTTCCACGGTGAACAACTCTTCCGAGCTGACAGCATTTTGAACGATCGCAAATTTCTGGATTTGCTGAATAGATACGTGTATTCCAATCCTTATTACGAGCTGTACTCGAATGTGGACAGAATCATTATTACAGAAAACACGCAACTGTGTGCCGCGTACAAAACCGTGGCCAGACGAAAGGTACCCAAATCGTTCAAAATGAAGCTATTGATGAATCTGTTCCCGGCGGCTCACCGGCTACCTAACAAGAAGTACACTAGCACAGGGGATCTCTACGAAAGCATGAACGAAAAATACAACGAGATTTGTGTCAGCTACATGAACTTGTCGGAAGCCGGAGGTAGTCAGCTGCTGGACAACTTCGATATCCTGATCGACCGAACGCCGATGGGAGAGAGACAAGTCAGTCGCAAGACTGTTCCTTTCCGCGCAATGAAATCCAACAATGAACCTATGGTGGCCAATCTCACAGGCAATTCTCTTGCAAGTGACATGTTGGATGATTCGGACAAAGAGATCCGTGCTGTCAGCGGTAAGTATGGGCCAACGGTTAAAGAGAGACGCGATTTGGAGAACAACATCTCTTTTCCACGGACAGATTCTGACGATGAGCGATCATCGATTGTCTCAGGTGGGACGAATAGGCATACGGATGGCTCAAGTGGATCTGGAAGTAATATTACCATTGCTAGCGAGTTTCAAGTGTCATCGGGAGAGGTTGCCGGAGATCATTCCATAGTGCCATCGTCTCAGTCTCAACCATCGCAATTGACCGAACTGCACAGCTCGGTAAACATAAGCTCTCAATCTGTTGCTCAATCGGTAGCAGCTGAAATTACGATCGGCGACTTTTCTGACAGCGACGACAGTGGAACAGCCATATATTTCCAGCAACCGCGTGCTGTCCGGCGACAGTCGCCGAAGGCGGCTGATGACCAACAAGCGGGCCCAAGCAATGTCAAGCGCCGACGAGTACGCCCGCGAGGACACGTAAGACGTAAGAGGAATATCACGTGCATTTTGTAATGGTAACGATTCAACTGCATGTTATGCTTTTTACTCGTTTTAGCTATGAATCCGACTCCTCAGGAGGCTCTAGAAAATCCCATTGGCCGTCTGCCGCGACTCGACGGTGGTTAAGTTCGTTCCAGTGTTCTACACATTCTAAGATATTTATATTTTTACGAGGGGCTATTCTTACATTAATACGAAAACGTAGAATAATCAGAATTATTTTAACTGGAAATTTTTTGAGTTTTGTTTTGTAAGAACAGCCCCTATAATACGGAACAGTAATTGACTGATTTTTGCTTTCAAGTTGATGTAAAAAGTAAATTGTAATTTATACTTTGTTGCAATTTACAATATGCATGTACATAGGTAGTTTGTAACTCCTTAAAATAAATAAAATGTAAATAAAAAATAAACATTTTGTTAAATCATCTAGTTGAGTCGTATATGACACATCTGGGCCTTGGATCAGAAATAGGAGTTAGCTTAGAATTGTGCCGGTTGAAATCTAGAACATGGTGGGCGTTGGCCAGATTTGGATTTTTCAGATATAATCCTAAATAGGACCTAGATTATTTAATACTCTAGTAACCTCAAGTCCGTGCTCTGTCACAACGTTTCATTGTGATTAATCAACACTCAAATGGGTAAAATATCAAATTTGAAAGAAAGGGAACTTGGAGTGTAGAGCGCACCTCCCACTGGACGATTTTGAAGCCTGGCCAAGTGAGTGGGGTATGGGTTTATTTGATTGAACGTCATTTCCAATGTATATATTGATACATTCAAACCATTGGCATTTGAGATAAGACAGAGATAGGATGCGGAGGAGCGTAACCCATGTTATGGTTTCCATTTATTAAATAGTTCAGATAGGCTAGAAATGACAGGTTTATAGTGAGAGAATGTACCATATTGGGAAAGCATAATTTTCATAGGGTTCAGAGCGGCTGAGCTGTTCGTTTGTAGTTTGACCTTCCTTCAAAACCAATTTGGCACTAGAACAATTTTAAACTTGTTCTGCATTATTCACATGTTGCAATTATTGAAAAGAGCTCGATATAAGATAGCCACAGAAAACAGACGTTGAGGCTCCAAAATTTCTCTAAAAACTTGTGTAAAGATTCCTATTCGACCTAAGCGCCACTAACGGCGACTTCCCCGCTTAAAAACCCTCTTTGACAACATGATGGCGCTGGCGTTGCAAAACTTACACTAGACACTAAGTGCTGGTAGCGCCAAGTGGCAATTTTCAGCAGGTAATTTATCGGTACTAGCGCCAAATTGGTCGAAGGTGATAAATGTATAGAGAAAATCATGACGGCAACGTTTCCACTTAACTTTACACTAGTTTATGACCGAACTTGGACATCTGGTCTCTGTAAGATAGCTTAATACAATACAATTAAATAGAAATGCCTAAATCTTACCGAGTAGTTTAGCTGTTCTGATTTCGGTTCAGTTTGTTGAGGTCGGGTATAGTTTCTGAGTATGGATGCCCATTTTGAAATAACTCATATTAGCACAGAGTAATACAACGGCGCCGGTGGTGTAGTGGTAAGCGTGATTACCTCTCACCCCAGCAGGCCTGGGTTCAATCCCAGTCGGCGCCGCCGGGATGTTCTGAGGCATAACATCTCTGATCACGCCTTCCTTCGGATGGGAAGTAAAGCCGTTGGTCCCCGGTTCATGAGTTGATGGGTCGATAGGTAGGGTCCAGGTGTGGGAGCTGCCTTCCTGGCACGTCGGTAGCATTGGTGCTCAGCACGGAAAACAAGATCGACGGAAAAAAAACAAACCAAAGGAAAAAAAAAAGCACAGAGTAATAGTTTTATTGCTAGGGAACTTTCTTTTTGGATCGTCTTTTCTTCATACAATTCTCATTATTCATACTATACTAATCATGTTCAGTCTTAGAAAATGTTATATGTTTAAGCCCCGTTCTAGATTTGTTTGTTATTCATATCTTATGTATTGCAGCTCGTGAGAGGTTACCAAATATGGGTTCTTTTTCTCATCCGCAATAGTTTGGGGAGAGGGGGCGATCTGAGAGCTGAATAGAGGCAAATAAAATAGGGAACACAACACCATGACCCACACGACTAACCAACGCATACAACTCACACTTAACTTGTTCTATTTCTTTCTTCCCCTCATGTTCCAATATTACCTACCTGAGAACAAATGGGAACACGGCCAGATTTTCAATAGGAAGAAGGAAAAAAGCGAGAAAACGTAAGAGAGTAAGCAGTCAGAAAGGATTAGGCCATTTGGAAACAGCCAATTTATACTGGACGGAACTGGTAAGTAGGATAAGAATTGTAAAAGGTTTGTGCTTGCATGATTTACCTATTATAGAATTACCTATAAGCCACATGAGAACCTCATTTCCTTCAATTACTACTCCATTGCAGCACACACCTAATAATGATCACTAACATTCATATAGTTTCAGCATTATCGACATTTATAATCAAAAGGTGAGTTGCAAAGTATAATTACCATGCATAGATATAAGTTAATGTACCAGAACCTGGACGGACACGAGCCTACCCAGGGAAGGACCCGGATACGACCACCCATGTGTGTCTAGAGTATCGCACGAGCTGACGAGTGCAACGGGAAGGACAGTAGGTGTATATACTAGGGGGTTGGTCCCTAGATAAGCCTTCTTAGCGGAAGGCACAGCCTATGCACTGAACAATTACAATTATAATTACAAAAAGAGACTTTCAGCCGTAGGCTGGTTCGTCTCTGAAAAATAATATATGAAAATACAGTTGATTCTAATTATTTTTTTTTCACTTTCTTCCTAGCTGCTTATTTTTGCTCCTCGTCTTGACTGATGAGTCCAGAACTGACAATTCGTCTTCTTTTTTTGCCATCGAATTTTCATTTCCTGCTGATTCATCATTCTGGCAACCCTGGTTCGTAATATATTGTTTCGCATTGTTGTGTTTTTGTTTCGTTGACAGCCTTCGTTTGTTGGTGACGGTTAGAAATTCATCCGATTCACTATCCGTCGATTCTTGTGCGCTATTGTTTCCATCAGAGTGTTGGTGCTGGGTGTTTTTGCTGGTTTCGTCTATTGTAGATTGGGTTTGATTGGTATCGAGTAATGTTTGTTCGCTGTTTTCATCGTTTGTGACCTTTTCTGCGTCTGTAGGGTCATTTACAGTAATGCGTGATGTAGAGCTATTACACTTTTGTTTGATTGCGATATGTAATCAATGTTGTCTCACCGTCGATCGTTAGATAGGTAGGGATGAGTTGTTTGAGCTTCATCCGTACTACACGTACTCCATTGTAGATGCCGGGAAAATAATTCTTCCACATTTCTCTGCTGATGGAAAGAATAGTACCGTATGGTCGCATACTTTCTAAAATCACCGTGTTAGGTGTTTTCGGAGGGAGATCATGGATTCTCACGTTAACGGCTTCGTCTTCCACGAACACGGGAATTTTGAAAGCTTTTTTCTCGCACTGCATAGTGTGTTGTAGATGGTGTGATGCAAAGTAGCGCTTGGCTGTTGCTGCATCTACCATCTCGACGTAGACACAGTTTCTAACATTGTGAAACTGAATTTTTAAGGTGTCCGCTATGTCCAGTTTCAACTCACCGTACATGAATTTCTGTACGGCAGATGCATCTGGTCGCTTCGGCAGCACACTAAAGTCTACTACCAAGGTGTTCTCACGTTTAGCACCCATCTGATAGAAAACTCATTAGCTTGTAACCTGATAACGAGACGGATAAAAGAAACACTTCTTTAACGCACGGGGCTTAGCTGTCAACTGTTCAGCCATAGCGTTCTTTATGTTCTTTTCTTTCAGCAAATTGATATCTCTTACTTTTTCATCTCCATCTCTTTCTATCCCTATTTAATGTATCGGTGTACTAGTTTGGACATTTTGCGCCGGCTAGTCACGTTTGCATCATGCTATACGGTCTGGCATGTTTTAACGCTTAGGCTTGGTAGGTCCTCACCTAACACGATGGGTTGGCAGTGGCCACCAGGGTGAGGGCTGATAAATTACAATTACAATTCAAATCTAGAACAGCAATCCTTTTGTACAAGCCGATGTTTCCATTGACATGTTTTTCAAGTCATGCGTTATTCCAATTTTGAAGGAAATGTAAGTCCACCGTCCTTGCGCCTCGCCCTGCGCTTTGGTCAGAGAGCGTATAGGGCGTCGTTGTGCCAATTTGGTCATGGCACATTGATGCGAGAGTGATTGCAGTTAGATCAATAGTGCCTGAGAAACATACAAGTACTTTCGCGGATTACCCGAAGTTACGGTAGTGAAGGTATGCTCACAGACAAGCAGACATAACACTCTTAAAATGTTCATCGAAATCGCTTTTAACGGTCAATTTAAATGTTTCTTAGTTTGTAGTACTGCCACTTGTGGCGCACATAATAAATTCCCTCGCGTTTGACGTTTGCACACTACAGCCATCTGTTTAGTGTATTGTCCATCACTAGGTATACCACCGACAAAGGTATACTACAGATGGCGGTAGGGTTAACCGAGAGAGGCGACACATCTTAATCTCAATTCTAGATGCTCAACAAATCTCACACTAGCGAATTAATCTTCGAAAAATCTTGTTTCATTTCTCGCATCTACTTGGATCATCTTTTTGCAAGAAATCTTCAGTATCGTCATCAATCTTCTTTCTATCTACACAGCGTACGGGCAGCTAACCACAGCAAATCACAATTTTTCCTGCATCGTAGATAGAGTCGCCCCCCTCGGGATTAACAATGAGAAATGTTCAATGTGTTGTGTCTGTTTGTGATATAACGTTGAGGTAACGTTAGGAAGAAATCAAAACATTGAGAAATATAACGCATCACTTTCAGAAATAATTCACTTCGCAACCGATGAACCACTCTGACGGCCATATGAGTACGCAAAAAATCATATAGTCGCAATATAGCTTGTAGAGGGCAGCTGGAACAAAATAGAATCGTCCATTATTGGAGCAGCTAAAGAGACGCTGAATAAAACGGGATCACCCCCCCCCCCCCCTCCTCGCAGGGTAGAAGCATCCAAGCGATACTTTATAGCGCCACAGAAACGTTTGGAGGACAGGAAAAACAGTCTTTTGAACTAGGAAGCAAAACAAGCTAGAAAGGAAAAGCAAAAAGCATACCAAGATCACTTCGAAGAACAAGTCAAGAAATTTCTACTAGACATTGAAGAAGAGAACACTCTGTCCAAAATGACAAAAACGTTTCGGTTCATCAAACAGCATAAGAAACAGAAGGAGTCAAATAATAAGAAATACATAAACATACACGGACAGAAAATTGTTTGCATTGAACCAAACAAAACTTTAGTTGAATTTAAACAAACAATTCCGGTTGAAATTATATTGCATTTTGTTGTTTCAATAATACTTATTCATATAAATTCAAAGTAGGATTCTTTTTGTTTTAATAAGCCACTTTTCAACTGCAACTATTGTAAAAATAACTATATTCTATTATTAATCCAATAATAGTTCATTTTAATTCAGCATTTATTTGCTGTGTCCATTCCCCGGGCCATGAATGCAAAAATAACTACCAACCATTCCCTCGTTTTCACCCGGACAAAAGTGTAAACAATAACAAAACTTGTGAATTTCGGGAAATAAGTGCAAAATTTCCGAAAATCTTGAGACTTGAGGTAAGTAAGTATGCTGCAGTTCAAGCTGCAGTTGCTAAATATAATCAATTTTCTGTTTTTTTCCATGATTTTTTTTTCGTCGATCTTGTTTTCCGTACTGAGTACCAATGCTCCTGACGCCAGGAAGGCAGCTCCCACACCTGGACCCTACATATCGACCCATCAACTAATTAACCGGGGACCAACGGCTTTACTTCCCTTCCGAAGGATGATCAGTGAAAAAGAAAACAAAACATAAAAAAAATGCCATATTATTTCCGGAGTGATTTGAGATTTGGGCGTAATTGCATTTGTAAACAAATACGTCAATCACCGATTTCTCGCGAATAAAAGCTCAATCTCGAAAAGTATTAACACTATGCGGTAGAGGAATGATTCCTCTATCATTTGGTATAGGTTGTTTGTGAGATTGAGCTTTTATTCAAGAGAAATCAGTGATTGACGTGTTTGTTTTCAAAAGCAATTACGCCCAAATCTCAAATCACCCCGGATTTTTGAATCAATAAACATATTTTTATTTCTACTGCGTGAATTGTCAGACTTCATAAAATAAATATGATTGAATCAACAAGAAATCTCTTTTAAAAACAAACATATTTTTATTGTTGACCCAGCTGCCAAATTTGACAGCTTACGTCAGAACCATGAAAGCTCTTGTAAATTCGAAAAGATTTTCTTTTTGATTTAACAATCCATGGGTTTTGAGGAACAAAAATACTGGATTGTTGAAACAATAATGATTTCTTTTTGCAGCCAAAACAAAATGAAATTCTTATTGATTTTACGTCAAATATTATTACGTTTAAAATATTTTTTTCTGCGTGTACAAGAGTGGGACCAAAAACTGAAAGAGATGGCTAATACTGGATCGGACCACGATGGTAAATGACAGGTGGGCAGGAACTCACAGTCTCCCAGTGTTGGTGAGTTCTTTGCCGTTAATGTTCACGAAAAGTTCACTATTTTGCTATACAGAAATTCAAAACAAAAAATTTTATCTGCGGATTTGAACAGTTTTTGACCTGTTTCATACTACCGGAAGGTGTATGCTGGTCACAAATGCCGTACCAAACTGATTTCCTTCTCAATTAATCAATCTTTGATGTGAAATTCGCTAATAAACACGAGGCGCATTTCTTATAGCAAACATGCCATAACAAAATGGGCATGGTTCATTTAAGTAAACAAACTAACACTTCTTCCGTCTGTGGCACCTATGTATTAGCCGTCTCGGGATCGGACGACGATATCGAGCTGCTAGTAGAAGATGATTGCAGGGATGCCTGTCCGGAACCTACTTTGGAGGAAATCAGAACATCCATATGGGCAACCAGAAACAACAGTGCACCGGGACAAGACAATTTATACAAGGGGCTGTTCATAAACTACGTAAACAGTTCAGGGGGGGGGGGGTTGATAATTATCCACGGCCCATACAAATTTTAATAAAATTGTATGAACAATTGTCTACGCATGGGGAGGGGGGTCAAGAATCCTAAAAAACCGTCTACGTAGTTAATGGACAGCCCCCAATGAGTTCTTCAACTATGGGTTAGAGGAACTTCCAGAGAAGATGACAGATCTCATGAAGGAAGTTTTCAGAACCAATCAGGTTCCTAAAGCCTGGTTAGAAACTGTTCAAATCCCCATTCCAAAGGTTACATATCCGCAAAACACCGAAGACTATAGATACATCACTCTTTGCTCAACGGCGTACAAAATGTATGCAAGATTGCTTTTGAAACGCTTGTCCGACCAAGTCGGTCCTCTATCCGGTTACCAAATGGCCTTTCAACAAAAATGGAGTGCTTCGGATCAAGTGTTTGTGCTTCGTCGAATATTGGATGAACGATGGAGAAAAGAGAAGCGAACCATCCTGATTTCACTTGATTTGAAACAGGCATTTGACAGACTGGAACTGGACATATCAAAAGCAGCCACCATTATCGCCGAAATGGGTGTTTTAAAATCGTTAATCAACCCGAGAATCAACCGGATTATATCCGCATGCCTGCACGAGAAAACATCACTCCAATGGTTTGGGAAGAGGACCAGTTCGATCAAAAAAATGAGAGGGGTAAAGCAAGAATGTCCTCTGAACCCACAGCTGTTCATCTTGATGTTGCTTCATGTCTTACAATCGGTCAACGAATTCATCCCGGAAATCAAATTGGCTCATGGATCGAGGATCGAATTACCGTGCATACTTGGATACGCGGATGATCTTATGTTCATTTGCGAAGAGGTTGAGGATGTGGCAAGGCTCATCGGTATATTAGAGCCGCTATTGAATTCAATAGGACTGGAGAGCAACACTAAGAAAACGAAGGTGTTATTCCGAGACCCCAGAGACACAAAAAACATACGCCCAGAAACAACTGCCAAGTTCGGAAAGTATCAACTCCCGGTGGTCACTATTATGAGATACTTGGGAGCATAATTGACCAGCTACATCTTCAGAACGCATAAAAAAGGCGTACAAAGCATATCATCATCTGTGTTCTTTCCTAAAGCAACACCCTCTTAAATGGAGCGTAGTAAGAAAGCATTGTCTAATTACTCCAGTGGTGACGTACTCCATGGAGGCGAGCATGGAGGTTAGCACAATATTAAAGAGAAATCGTAATTCACTGCGAAGAATGGAATAAGAGATGTTACTGAGTCTTCATAATTTGTGTCATGACGACACAGAAGTGCCTAAGAGGAATGATACTGAGAATGAACAGTCTAGCGATTCAGCAAACGACAACAATCATCACGAAGAGCGTCCACAAGAGAGTAGTAGAACCGTAGAACTGACCACATTGCCCCCGAGTGGCTGGGTGGATACACGATAAACAACAAAATAAGAATAGCAAGGCCTAACTACTACGGGCATATGTATCCTCAGGAGCGATCCAGGCGGAATTTTGAAAACGGCACTTAAGTACAGAATACCAGAACCCAAGAAAACTGGAAGACCGGCATATACCTGGAAAACCTGTATTCGACAGGACGTGGAGATGAGCAAAATTCCCATTGAAGTATGGCAGGATATCGCA